TTGTTGTATTGTGGGCTTGTGTGAACCATCTATTAGTCTGCTAACTCTAATTCTCCATGAGTTTCTTGCCAATGCCAGAGCAAGATCAGAGTCAGCTTTGTGATCATAGACACCTGCTATGTCAAATGCCTAAGCAAGGCCAATACAGTTAGAAAATAATACATTGCTAAAAAGTACAGCATGCTCTACAAACTTGAGGCCAAGCAAGCTTTCGTGAAGAATGAAAATAAATAAAATGCAAGAGAGATTAGATATAGATGATAGACACAGATACCTGTATCCCCATAGCGTAAGACAACAAAAGTCTTTAACAACATAACAAAGAAGCAAATAATGTAACAGAAGACATATACCTTCAGTGCAGTTGTTAGTTTTTGTGCAACAGTGCAAAGATCTGTATCCAAATAAGAAGAGGCAAAACCCACTATTTCTGCCGAGTGTGCACTACATCTGACAGCTTGTTCCACAATTTGTTCTAACAGACACGTTTCTTCAATCCTGTGAACCCCAGCACGGGTCAAGTAAAAATTAAGACATTTATAAGAAGATGCAGTTATCAGAACAAGCCATCTGTTAGAGAAGGTATATTTGTAATTAATTAGGGTTAAATTATGTTAAATGATATAGTGGTAAAATGTACCTCTATATAATTAGATGTTGGTTTCCTTTCTTATTCTCAAGAACTTATATACATAGAGTCATGTATTCAATAAAATACACAATATATTAATTTTAACATGGTAACATAATTTTAGATTAAAAAACTCTAATTCCTTTACAAACCCTAATCCGCCTTCATTGGCGAAACAAGAAAAACCTTCAAGGGATTTGCCTTCATAACCGGCCACCACAACAGCCATCATCATGGCAGCCTTCATAGTTGTAAAACAGAGAGGTGCAAGGCCCACTGCCACACACCACTAGCCAACCACCATTGCAGCTGCAGCACCATTGATCAACTCACCCAAACCACCAATTGCTCCCTGCAGCCACAAGCCAGCCATGCAGCCAGCCTTCCAGCAGTGCGACTAGCCAAGTGCACCAAGCTAGCCGCGAAACCAGACACACACAAGCACCAGCAGCGAGACCAGCCATGTGCAACCACCCAGCCCCACACCCGACATCGTGTGCTAACCTCTGCTTCAGCAGCCTGCGCACCTGTCACCTGCTCTAGTCACCACCAGCAGTTTCTATAGCCGCTGCCTGTGCTATTCCCACCTGTCCAGCAGCGACTATCAAACCAACCTTCACTGCATGAATCCTCTGCACCATGTTAGAAGCCACATCATAGGTCACTAGTCCTAACCCTAAAATGAATGGAAAGAATTAGCTGAATTGCTCACAACTAATTCGTATCATCCTAAAAGGAAAAAGGAAAATCAGCCATATTCTGGGTATCGGATAACTGGGAGACCTCTTATGTGATGTCTGGGATGAAGAAGATTCAATGATAATGGCTTGAATCTAGAATCCGATGTTTACCTGACATAAGCAATACATGTGAACCAACGTAGGAAAATTTTTGGAAGCAATCAGAGAAACATATTCCCGACTGAAAGATGCAGCTCAGATACACAATTTGACAATAAGAACTTGGCCAACTAAGCAGGAAAGCAGATAAGTAACAAAATGTATTATCTTATTGAAAAATTGGTGGCAAGATCAATGTTGCTGCTTTACTATGGATTGTAGCAAAAATGTAGCAGCCTTGAAGAAGTTCGCAGAAAAAGATAGAGCCTATGAGTTCATAGCAGGCCTCGATACAGAACTTGACCAGGTGAGGATTCAAAAATTAGGGAAAGAAGACATACCTTCACTAAATGAAGTTAGCTCTATCGTAGTTTGTTAGAACCCGATTTCAAACACCAGAAAAAGAGCAGGATCGTAGGAAATTGCAATGGATGCATGAAGAAAACAGCAAAATCGGCCATAGAGTAAAAAAAAAACAGGAAGTAAAAAAAGGAAGATAGAACTGTCCACCAGCAAGCAAAACCCAAAGGGTTTTTAAGTGTCGGCCACCCAATAACTCCCACCTAAAAGAGATTGACGTGTGACAGAATCCAAGGAGATCTGGAGGGGGTATTTAAAACCCCAAAAACTGGGTTTCGTTGAACTGCTTCTTCATTTGGTGAACCGGTTGACTCTTCTCTGAACCGTTTCTTTTTTACGCAACCAACTCTTCATATTCTTCCTCCATTTGACGTGACCCAACGGGAGAAAACTTATCTGAACGGTGGTTTACGGTGATGTTGACGGTTCGAAATGCATAATCATGAACTGTTTCATATAGTATAAATGATACAACACAACTCAAGTATGAAACTTTTAGAAATGAATATCAAATAATCTATCTTATCTTTATCTCTCTGTGTTCTTCAAACACATACACTCTCTCTCTTTTCTGGGCTATCTTCTCTCTTGGCCGCATCTCTCTCCAAACTCTCACTCTCCCTCTGTTCTCGACTTCTCTCTCTTCTTGGCTATCTTCTTTCTCTCTCTCTAACGCACTCTATCTCTGTTTCTTCTCTCTCTAAAAGCCTTTCTCTCTCTCAGTCTCAACTTTATTTCTCTCCAGATTCTTCTCTCATTTTTTTTTTTTTTTCTCTCTCTCAAAATTAATCTTCTCTCTCAAAATTCTTCTTTATTTGTTTAAAAATTAATTTCTTTTACTAATTTCTGGCTCCGGTGAAGTACATGTCAATGCCGGGTCCTAACATAGTTATAGAAAAAAGCAGGAGATAGTTATGCTGGAACCTCACTCCAGTGAAAGCTCGGCCATAATATTAGAAGATTCAAAACCTCGTCAACTGGCAAGAGACTGATTAGGACCGATCACACTAGCAATAAGAGGAGAGAATAAGGACGATATGCAGCATACCTTCTGCAAGAAGCCAAGACACATGAAGGAGAAATGTTGGATACTCCATGAGATGCCCACTACCCCACAAGAGCCTCATAGACAAGCTCATGTGGTTAATCAATGAGAGAAGGAGAAAACCACTGATCTCATTGAATTCTAAAGCTGAAATCGAACACTTAAAGAACAAACTTAAGGATCTTTAGAAACTCAAAAGTACAGATTTGTTAGTACACCTAAATATGTTTGCTATCTCAGACGGTTTAAATGCCTTAGATAAACCATTTGACTAATTATGAACTATAAACTCATGGGTTAATAACCATATAACCAACTCATCACAATATTTTTTCACGTATATATCGTCTCTAAATAGTAGGAAAATTATCATTATTAATGTTTCCTTAAATACCACTGCAAGAAAAGTAACATCAAAATCATTGCCAATATGATTTTTGAAAATGAGTTACATGTCCCTAAACTGTGTACTAGTCTTGTTTTTATAATCAAATTATCAAAGAATATAAATTGTAAAATAATGTTTTTCCGTTCTCATTGTGATTCTCAGGATTAAAACTCAGAGAAGATGATTAGAGATGCTAAGGCCAGAAATGGATGATACTACTTAAATGATTTGAATTATCGCTCTCCACCACCACTACAGACTCCACCAACAAACTTTGGCTCCATCGCCAACAACTTTGACACTTTTTTCTTTTAATTTTGAAAGTTACATTTTCTTTTTTATTTAGAGATTTTTTAAATGAAAATTTGCATTACGATATATGCGAATTGGTCAAAGATAAGCATGTAACATTTCTTAGTAACAATAAAAGAAGTATTATTCAACTTTCATTAATTTATTATTTGGGGACTATCTACATCCTAAATCGCGCCGGAAAGCGAAAAATCACTGCTATCGCGCGATCTCCTCCAGCCGATTGAGCTCCTTTGTGCCTTCTTTCCTCAAACTGGAACCCAACACGCACAAGGATGCTCTCCTCCGGCAATCCCACCGCACACAACCTCAAACCGCCGTGCAAACGGCTTCCTCGGCTTCTCCCACGTACACCACCGTGCTGGCCGAACTTTGAACTGGCCAAATATCGGTAGTTGTCTTTCTCCAGTGCCAAAAATAGGTTGTTCAACCCTTCTTCTGGTCTGATGTAATTTGACTCCCTAAACCCTAAGCTTAACCCTAACTCTATCTCTGACACCGTGTAAGAATTAGAGGAATGAATACTGAATATTTACACACTTTTCATTACATAGAGTTAGGGGTATATATACACATAGAAGAGAAATCTATATATGAAAACATAAATCATCCTATTAATATTAGGAAATCAACTAATAATTATATAAAAATATTCTGTAATATATTTTCTAATATTTTAACAATATAAAATATATTTGACTAGTGGTTTATATAGATTTTAGGATTCTAAGTAAAAAATGGATGGCTACCCAAGAAAAATTATCTAAATATTTAGAATTAATAAAACTACTGTAGTTATTGGAGCTTTTCACTATTACAACATAACCTCTAATCTTATATTCTTAAACATGCTCTGTTTGATATATGCAAACTTTTTCTAGTTTTAATTTCCTAAATTCACGTGCTTATTCATAAAGGTATATCATAGATACGTGCTTTTGGAATAACTCAAGCATAAACAAAAATAGTTTTCTAGAAAATACTAAAGTATCACTTAATAATCTGCATACTCCATATGTCAAATGAATCCTTCTTCTTTCAAGATCTCTTTTCTATTTTAGTAAATGATAAATCCTATAAAAGGTGCATCAACAATAAGGTATATTACCTAGTACAGGAACTTTTAGCATCTGCTAAAAGCTCAACCAACAACTTGATGTCAGGACGCTTCCCTACAAATTTCTGAACAAGTCACAAGGAATACAAAGGTCAAGAAAGGAACAAAACTTCAATTAGGGGAAAAAAAATATCTGAAAAGTTAAAACCATACCAGAGGACTGACTCCATCAAGAGATAGAGATCCATCTTCAAAAAAGTGGCAATAAGGGCATAAATACTGCTCTTCATGATATCTATCAGTTTGTATTTGTCCTAGGCACTCCAAATGGTAGCTGCTTCACAATTAGCAAAAAAGGAAAAAAAGAAATAACTCAACTGCATAGAAAAATAGACAAATTACAGTTTCACCTCTTTTCTAGTTTGGCTGATTGCAACTCAAAATCCTATGATTTCTTTTCTAATATCTTAGTGTGCTATATCTTTATTTTTTGTAAATTTTATAAAGCCAATAGTTTTTTAAGTTATTATATTATAACTCTTTTGCTTTTTTCTCTAGTTTTAACCTTAAACTTTCTTGGGTTCACATAGAAGCTTAGACAATGCATACGTCCCCAGATCACACTGTTAAAGGAGATCACATCACAGTGCAATAAACTTTTTTTTAAAATAAAAAGTGTACAACTGTATTATTAAGTCGCAGAGCAGTAAAGTGTTGCAATAAAAAAAGAAATAAAAACACAGTTTGAATTGGAATCAGGCCAAACTGCAAGTATCATAGTTTACCCTAAAAGAACATCATGAAATGATGATTTAAAACCAAAAACCTAAGCTGAAGATCAGTTGAAATTGTTCCTTATAGACTATTTAGGGGAAATGAGCCCTCTACTTCTCAGCTTGTCACCAGTCAAACTTGAGGACGAGAGCTGACTGTGGAGAAGGAACTTAGTATCTAGTTTGCTTGGAATGGATCTAAGGGAATTTTCTGATTTAAAGATACGGGAATTGGTCAATAAGAGTCCAAAAAAGTGGCTAAAAGTGACCAGGATGTGCAGGAGAGGCTGGAAAAAGATTAACTACAGCTGTAACAAACCAGAACATGGTGCCAAAAACAAACCACAACAGAGTGTCGAAAACATCAGATCTGCACGAAAACAGAGTAGATCTGTGCGCACAAAATAGAGTAAGTATGTGTGCAAAAACAGAGCAAATCTGCCCTCAAGAACAGAGCAGACTTGCACGCAAAACAGAGGAAAATAGTGCCTGATACAAATCAGAACTGCATGCAAAAACAGAGCAGAAGGGGCATGGAAAACAGAGCAAAAACGAAGCAGCAGCGGCTGAAACAGAGTTCGTAAAGAAAACAGAGCAACGGCAGCTGGAAACTTGGTAGAAAACAGAGGCGGCTCTTTGCAGCCAAAAACAAAGGTTGTCTTGGGGAAGTCCCCTTGTAAAGGTTGTAAATTTTGCATTTTTTTAGGCAATGAAGGCCAGATTAGGATTTGAAAATGAGAGAAATATCTTTTCATCTATGGTTCTGATACCATGTGGAGAAAATTGTACTTCTTACTGAATATTGTAAGTTATGACACGATTATATCGTTGATATGTCTATATAAAAAAAAAACTTAATTATTTTGGAATTCCATGATTTATGGGATATTCTACCGTCATAGGATCCTAATTAAATAGACACAATTTTAAGTAAAAAAGAAAAAAATATATATACTTTCCTTTTCCAACATATATCTTTGTTCTTTTTTCTCCTCTTTCTATTGATTATATACTTTTTTATAAAAAGGTCATGTATCATCTAGCTTATTTATACTTAGTTTTTAGGTCTCCTTTACAGCATTTACTACTATTTTCTTGGTGTAAAAGTTGTAACAAATAGACTGTATTGTTATAGAACAAATAACACTAAATTATTGTTCCCTTCT